TCTGGTCCATTTCACCTCTGCAGCACCTCTGGTCCATTCCGCCTCTGCAGCACCTCTCCAATATGCACCCTTCTCTCTGACACTGCCCTCACTCTGGTGCAGACCTTCATCACTTCATACCTGGACTATTGTAGTTGCTGCTGGGTGGGAGGTCTGCCTGTCTCAGTCAAATGGGGTCAAATGTACAAACCTCTGCTTGGCTTGTGTAGCCCTTCACACTCAGGCCCCTTCTTACCTTTCCACTCTTCTTACATTTCTGTCCTCTGTATATTCTGTGGTCTCGTGACATCAGCCACCTCACCTCCCCATCTCCTGACACCATGCCTGCGCTGGAAGGCTGTGCTTCAGCATCTTGGCCTCTTGGCTCCCTTCAAGTTCCAGTTAAAATCCCACCTTCTCTAGGAAGCCTTCATTCTAGTGCCTTCCCTCTGTTGGTTACCTCCTATTTATTTTGTCTGTGTCTGCATGTTGTCTCTCCCATTAGACTATGAGCTTCCCGAGGGCAGGGACCCTATTTTTTCTTTTCTTTGTACCCCCAGGTTGCCCCCAGTGCATCTTTATACCCCCTTAGCACAGTGCCTGGCATATAGTAGATGCTTAATAAATGCTAGTTGACTGACGATCTTTGTGGGTCCTGGTAGTGTTAGAACAATCCAGTAATGAGTCCACAAGGTGTAGAGAACTGTCACCTTCATCTAGAACCACTTCAAGTTTATCTTCATGTTTCTCGTGCTAAGGAGTCCCCATCATCCTCGGTGGTGGAGGTGTCAGAGTTAGGTGAAGGACATTTGCTTAGGTAACACCCCATCCTGGGCCATGCCCCCAACTTGCACTGAGGGTTGTGTCTCCATACAGCAGCTGCTACTTTATATTCAAGGAATACACTGTGGGTACTACTTCTACTATGACAACTGACAAGCCCCGTCTGGTGTGTGTCGCCTTAACATTCAGCCAGTAGATAGAATTATCTCTTAGCGTAGGCATTTCTAAGACATAGTACAAAGTTAACAAAATTCTCCATCTGCCCTCAGTAAACTTGGGGTGCACTTTCTCTCAAATACAGCATCTGTGGGAAGCACAAACTTCAAATGAGAGTGAGGCTGGCCTATATGGAGCAGATGGTTAAGGCAACTCACAATTCCAGAACTTTGGGCCTCAATATCCTTTCTCCACTCATGGAGACATCACAGGGCTCCCCTTCTGGGACTGGTCTCCACCAGATGCCCCATTCAGCAGGGCTCTCAAGGTCTTTCAGGATTTTCTTCTCTTTGCAGTTCGACTTTCAAATGTTAGTTAGCTTCTACAATTTCTTGGGATTCAGAGCTAGCCCTCTTCTCTGCTGCCGTGCTCCTTGAAACTATTGCCAACTTCACGTGTCTGCATCTGACAGGAGGGTGTGTGTCCCTGTTTGACAGCTGGCTCCTCTATCAGGGAATAAACGCTCAAACTACTGGACGTGGTACTTCCTGGGAGAGTAGCTTCATTGCTAGATGACCCATTTGATTGGAGGAAGGGAGAGAATCCCCCTCTTTTTCCTCTAGTGTGAAGAGTTGGGTCCTTCCCTAACTGCTGGCTCCTACTTGAACTGTGGAGAGCTCTTAAGCAGTCAGAGTGCGGACAATTGTGTGGACAGTTCTCAGCCAGCTAATGGCATTGACCCTTTCCATTGAATCAGTTAAAGGCATTCACATTCCACAAAGCAGAACCACTCACTGGGTATGACATCTTGGTGACATCTGGTTATCCGTATTGGCCTCCTGGGATATTAACACCTTCTCCTAAGCTTGGAGAAGGGGCCCAACTTCTCCCTGTTGCTCTTAAAGCAGAATGTAAGGTAAGTAGACAAGTATGACCTTGAAACAGGAAGCACTCCAGCCGTCCTTTCTCAAGGCTACCATCTATGCACATTTCCTGGGGGATTGCACCCATGGTCCACTCACTCTGTACTCATTCCTCCCCTTCAGCACAAAGGGCTTGGAAAGGTGCCCAGGTAACTTGTCTCTTCAACAGTGTGTGTGTGTGGGGGGGGGGGAACCTTTGTCACTCAGGGAGCTGACAGGGACCCTAGCTTCAGCTCTCAGTTTCTATGACTTGCAGACAGATACCTTGGCTTCTCCCTGTGACCACCACTACCCCCCAGAACATCTTGATCCCTTCCCGTTCTGCCACTGATGTCCAGGTGTGTTACTTCCCTCCTCTGGCCACATCCCCCCAGACTCTGCTCCTTGCAGGCCTTTGCTCATGAGACCAGCACATAGGCCGGACAGGTGTGATCATGCTTGGATACATCACATAGGCTTTTAGGGAACAGTTCCCAAGGAGGACTCTGAGTTGTGAGCCTACTTGTGTGTTGCAGAACCCACCCCTGTTCCCTTGTGGCTGTTCTGAAAAAGCCCTGTGCCTTGTAAGAGGACCCCAGCAATGGGTACAAATGACCCCAAAAGCTTCAGAGCCTCTTGGAGTGGCAGGGTGGAGCTGGGCATCAGTGGGATTCTCAGGTCCAGGCCCCTCTGGGCCTCTCCCGGATGCCCTCCTCTCAGCCTCCATTTCCTGAGTGTTTCTGGCTGCTTGAGGAGAGAGGCTCCTAACAGAACATATCCTTTCCCATGTGGCTGACCCGGGCATGGGGACTGGTCTGACAGGACTCTTGGGGCAGGTGTGGGGTGAAGGGGTCAGCTTGGCGAGGAAGCGCGTGCCTCAGATGCTGCAAAGGGAGCTGATCCATTTCTACACCAACCCTGGCTGTGTCACCCTCCTGCTGAACCCCAAGGGCCAGGTGAGTGGCAGGGGCCATGGTCAGGGTTCCAAGGGAAGGAGGGCTCTGGTCCTCAGAAGGGAGGCCACCACAGGTGTGGGCAGCCCTCCTGGGGGGATGAGGTAACCAGTCAGTCCTCCAGGTGATGAGCGAGTATCAGGCACAACACCGTGTGACCGAGGCCTCCAGATCCTTCGCTGACCACACGGACGTATCTATCGACTGCTATCCCCTTCTTGAGGAGGCGGGAGAGAAGCCCCAGGAGGCCCCGGGTGTTGGGAGCAAGATCCCCCGCCGGCATTTCCGGGCCCAAAAGAAGACCAAGGTCCCAGGGCCTCCCCCTGGCCTAGAGGGCCAGCCTGGGCCCCACAGAAGCAGGTGTCTGGTGGAAGGGAGAGGTGGGATTGGCTCAAATCTGGCCAGCTTCTCAACCCTGGAGCTAAATGCATGCTCACTTTTCCCTTCCCCCATCCCTAATTCCTCCAGGAACACAGCTCTGTAGTCCCCTGAACCTCACCCATTCCCCTGCCCCATGCCAGGCTCTGCAGGGTGGTACACGCCCGTCCACTAACACTAACGCCTGCTGCCTCCATGCAGGCCCCTGAGCCCCATACCCAGCATCAACATATCCAAGAGCTTCAGCCAGTGGCAAGCTAAAGAGGCCGTGGCCTGCAGGGAGTCTCTTCATGGTGCCATGGTGCCACTCCCCAGCATTCCAGGTGCCCCCCCAGGAGCGCCCTCCTTCCTTCCCCTCCCCATCGCTTGTCCCTATGTCTCACATAGACTGTTCCCAGTCCAGGAACATGGACTTCCCCATGACTTTCCCAGATCTTTATCTCCACCTATGGGAAGGTGGGGGTGGGGGGCTGACAGGGCCACGGTGCTGCTGCTGAGGGCTGACTGTTCCCCATGACTCTCAGATCTCCACCCCTGCTGGTGGGGAGGTGGGGGTGGGGTGGGAGGGCTGGCTGCTGAGGGCTGACCTTCATGCTGTCCCTTTACCCTCCCCCAACAGAGCTGGTACAGCTGCCAGGCATTGGCAAGAAGATGCAGGAGAAGAGCATTCCTGTGAGTGGCCTGTGTTTGTGAATGTGTGCGTGTGTGTGCGTGTATGAATAAGACCTTGTCACCTAGGGTGTATGTGAGATGTGTATGTGTTTGTATAAAACCTCCTAGCTTGGGGGGGGGGGGTGTGTGTGTGTGTCTGTGTAAGACAGCACAACCTGTGTGGGAATGTAGGACCTCACAGCCTGGGGGGAAGTGTGTGTGTGTGATATATGGTTGTGTAAGACCTCAGAGTCTGGAGGTAGTGTGATGTGTTAGAGTAAGACCTCACTGTCAGGGGGGTGGGGGCAGGTAATGTGTGTGGTGTGATATGTGTGTGTGTGTGTGTGTGTGTGTGTGACATATACAAGTGGAGGGTGTTGTGTGTGTTTGGGGGAGGGGGCTAGCCTGGGAGCAAGGCCCTGTTCCTCTGGGGGCCAGCAAGCCTGCAGCCCAGGCAGCCCCCCACACCCCTTTTCCATGGCCGGCCCCCTCCCTCTCTCCCCTCAGAGAGCAAACCAGTTCCTGCCATCACGGATCTGCAGGAAAGGTGTGGATGTGGACTGTCCCATGGTGGCCCTGAGCGTGCAGAAGACCATAGAGAGCAGATTTGGGCAGAAGCAGCTGAGTTATCCCCCCATCACCAGAGAGCTGAGGGAGCCTCTGTGAGGGCGGAGGGGCACAGACACAGCCCACAATACCTGTGCCTCGAGTAGCTGAGTGGCCTGGACTGGAGGCTCCGTGTGATGGGCGGGCAGGGACAAGGGGCTCTGGGGGAGCCCCAGGCCAGGGACAGGAGTGACACACTGGCTGCATGATTCATCTATTAATCAGTATTAAGTGAAAATAAAATCTCCTTACATTTCTGTCCGACCAAGAGAAGAGACTGATTGACAGAGGGAGGGAGGGCCTGCCCCAGTATCTGATCCGTCAGGACCAGGCTCTGCCCCCCCCCCCCACATCCCCACCCCCCGCCAGGCTGTGACTTCAGGCAAGAGTTTGGATCCTCTCCACCCAAGCATCTTGCCCTCCTTCCCTGGCCCAGCCCCTCCTATCCTAGGACTCGTGGGGTGCAGGGGCGATGGCCCCCGCCTGGGGCATTAGCCGGCTCTCATCCCCACTGCCCCCTCCGTAGAGTCAGCGACAGGACTCAAGGGGGCCTTCTCTGGGCTCTGCCTCGTTGGGGTTAGCCGCGGGCCTTGGATCTGGTGCCAGGGGCTTCGGGGGCCGCGTCTGCTTGCCCGAGCAGCTGCCGTTGTAGTGTTACGACTTGGAGTTCCTCTGGGGGTGTGCTGGGGGTGTTGGGGGTAGGGTAGTGGTGGGGCCCAGGCTGGGCCGGCTGGGCCACCTGTGTAGGGTGCTGGTGCTGCTGCTGGTGAGTGGCCAGGCAGGGGCTGGCGGGAGCATCTTCTCTGGGGCCTTGGCTGGAGAGCGGATAATGGGCTGCCTACATCTGGGTCCCTTGGCTGCACTCTTCTCTGCCTGATGTCTGAGGAGGGAGAAGGCGGGCTCCAGCGGGGAGGGTGTGTAGGAGACAAAAGACGCAGGCGACTGGCCCCTGGCAGCTGGTCTGAGGCCCCGTGCGCTGTACCTGAGAGGGGAAGAAGCAGCTGAAGACCTGGTCTGTCCTGTCCAGGGGTTCTGCAGGGGCTTAGGAGTGTTCAAGATTCCCCTTCCCTGGCTCCCCTCACTCCAATCCCCTCTTCAAGGGAGTGGTGGATCAGAGTCTGCTGGAGGCAGGGGCTTCCCAATCATTCCCAGGGCACTGGTCTTCTCCTTCCCTTCCTGACAGGAGAGGATGGGCAGGGGAAGAGGGAGGAGACAGAGAGAGAAACAGAGAGGAAGGAGGAGAGAAGAGACAGTATAACATATTTGGGAGTCTACCTGCCAAGACAAACCCAGGAACTATGAACTCAGTTACAAGATACTTTTCACATGAAGTCAGATCTAAATAATTGGAAAAATTTCAGTTGCTCATGGGTAGGCCAAGCTAATATAAAATGACAATTCTACCTAAGCTAATTTACTTATTCTGTGCCATACCAATCAAACTACCAAAAAAATTATTTTATAGAGCTAGGAAAGATAACAAAACTCATCTGACAGAACAAAAGGTCCAGAATATCAAGGGAATAAAAAGAAAGGCGAGGGAAGGTGGCCTAACTGTACTAGATGGAAAACTGTATTATAAAGCAGCAATCATCAAAACTATTTGGTACTGGCTAAGAAATAGAGTGGTGTCCTAGGGCTGTAACCCAAAGAGATCATAAATATGAGAAAAGGACCCACATTTACACAGACATTTATTGCAGTTCTTTCTGTGGTGGCCAAGAATTGGAAACAGGGATGCTCATCAGTTGGGGAGTGGCTGAACAAGTTGTGAATGTATCTGAATGTAATGGAATATTACTGTGTTGTGGGAAGTGATAAGCAGGTGAACTTCAGAAAAAGCTGGAAAGACTTACATGAACTGATGCTGAGTAAAGCAAGCAGAACCAGGAGGACATTGTATACAGTAACAGCAACATTGTGTGATGATCACCTTTGATAGACTTTGCTCTTCTCAGCAATGCATTGATCTAAGACAATTCCAAGGGACTCATGCTAGAAAATGCTGGCCACATCCTTTTTTTTTTTTTTTTTTTGCTAGGCAATGGGGTTAACTGACTTGCCCAGGGTCACACAGCTAGTAAGTGTTACGTGTCTGGAGGCCGGATTTGAACTCAGGTCCTCCTGAATCCAGGTGCTCTATCCACTGCGTCACCTTGCTGTCCCTTCTGTCCACATCCAGAGAAAGAACTATGGAGTCTGACTGCAGATCAAAGCATACTATTTGCTCTTTTTTTTCCCTTTATGGTTTTTCCCTTTTGTTCTGATTCTTCTTTCACAAAATGACTAATGTGGAAATATGTTTAATATGATTGTACATGTATAGCCCATATCAGATTGCATGCCATCTTGGGGAGGTGGAAAAATTTGAAACTCAAAATCTTATGAAAGTTAATGTTGAAAACTAAAATAAATTTAATTAAAGTAAAAGAGAAGAGAGAAATAGAGACAGAGAGGGAGGGATGGAGAGAGAGAGAGGAGAGACAGATGCAGACTGTCACAAAGACACAGAAATAGAAGAGACAAGGTGCACACACGGACACAAGAGGTAGATGGAGAAGAGAGAGCAGACAGAGGGTCCTTCCTGCTGGGGGTGGGAGAAGGTTAGAGTGAGCATTTGGAAGGATTCTTTACGTGGCCTCGGTGAGTCCAGATCCCACAGCTGGCTTGACCCCTCGATGCTCTGGTTGGCTCTGGGATCCTGGGCCTCTCAGGGCCATGAGACACCTGAAGGGAGTCCGCGTGGCTAGCCTCTCCCCTAGGTGGGCCCCTGCCTCTGAGCTGGACAATGGGCTGACGGTGAGGTTCGGGCTCAGACGCCTGTCCCGGAACTCCGACCTCGAGTGCCCTTTGGGGTTAGGCAGAGGGGGAGGGGATGGGCACTTGAGGAAAGAAGGGATCAGGGGGTAGCTGGGCCCAGCTAGCTGTCCGCTGCTGCTCATGACTTTGGAAGGATCTGGAAGGCAATGGAGGTCACAGGTTCAGCAGGATGACCACCAGGGAATCCAATGCCCTCCACACTCTGGGGGCTCTGGATGCTTGGTCCCTTATGGTCTGATACCAACTGGGAAGGGAAGTAGCCCGTCCCAGCCATCCACAGACCTAGTCAGACCTTGATCTGCCATCACCCACCATGCATCACCTCCATGTTCATGAATTTGGAAATGCCCCTATGGGATTCCAGTCTCTCCCTGTGCCTTCCAGCCCTAGGCCTCGTTCCTCATCGGCCCCCTGCCCCGAGGGAGCCCCCCCCCACCGTCCCTCACCATACTAGCCCTGCACCCTTTCCGTATCCCTGTGCTTTTGGCTCCTCCGCCAGCCTACTCAGCTCAACTCTTGCGGCCTTCGGTCTTCCCAACATCAAGCCTCTGCCTTGGGTCCTTCCCACCATGTGCTGCTGGAGAGAACCCCCAAACTCTCTGCTGGGGTCTGCTGTGTGTTCACAGCCCCCTCCCTCCACCACCTCCACAGCGTTCTGCCAAACCTCCTCCTCCCTTAAGCCTCCCCCTGCCCATTGTCCCAGATGAGGAGGCCAGGACGAGAGCTCCCTCTTCTCCCTGGCCTTGGCCTCACTTAATGAGGTGGCCTGAGCCCTCTGCACACACAGGTGATCCCCCCCCCCCATCCCATCTTCTCCGGACACTGGGTTACCCGGCTCCAGGCTGCTTCCCTCCCTCCTCATCTCCGCCTTCTGGCTTCCCTCAAGTCTCAACTAATGCTCCATCTTCTGCCAGAAGCCTTTCCCAGCCTCCCTCCATCTTGGTGCCTAGCCCCACTATATCCGCTGGAAAGTTTGTTTGTACGTGGTTGTTAGCATGTTGGACTGTGCGCTCCTGGAGGGCAGGAAGGAGCTGTTTGCCTTTCTTTGTATGGGCAGCTTAGCACAGTGCCCGGCTCACAGTGGGGGCTCGTGAGTACTTGGTGATCACTGTAGTCCAGGCTTCTCTGGGCATTCCCAGTTCCATGGAGAGCACTACCAGTTTACAGGGCATGGAGCCTGTTGCGTCCCCTTCCTCGTGGGGGGCCGGGAGACAGCACCCTCCTTTGGCTGGGCTTCTAAAAGTGGCAAGCTGGCCACTGTCTCCTTTGGAGGTGAGCCCTCTCTGCTGTGCCCATCAAGGACGCCATGGACTGACCTGGTAGCTGACTGTCCTCTCCCCATCCCTCTCTTAACCCCAGCTCCCAACCTCGGCTGACTGATGAGATCACAGAGATTTTGGGAAGGGAGGAGGGGGAGAGGAGGCTTCCATTGGAGCCAGAGCATGGGAACCAGCGGGCCTGGGCAGATCAAGAAGGGTCCGGAAGGGCACGGGAGCCATGAGTGTATTTGAGGCAGCGGGCAGCAGCCACGAGGTGGGAAACATCGGAGCTTAGTGAGAATGGAGATGACGCACAAGGAGAGCGCCTACTCTGTGCCAGGCCCTATGCGCTGGGGTCACTTGTGCAGGTAGAGGGAAGGACCACCACAAGCAGGGAGACCCTTGGGAAGTGATTGTGACTTATGGTCCAGATGGCAGGGACAAGGGGCCTGGCCAGATCTGCTGGCTGAGGCATGAGTGGAGGGAGGAGGTCCCGGGTGTGAGCTCTTGGGGCGGGGAGGGAGTGCAGACCCTGGAGGGGCAGGGCCTGGAGTACCCTCCCTTGCCTGGACCCACTCCTTCTCCAATATAAAAAGGGGGGATGGCAGCCGTAATGTCAGGGACTGACCCTATGTCTATGCCCGGTCTCTGTCTCCCTAGGTACAAGACCCAGGCATGTGCAATCTCCAAGAAGTACTTGAAGACCAGGGGTCTTCACAACCTCGGTGGAACCCCCTATCAGTCTGCTCCCTTGTTTGAGTGCAGTCCTGGCTCCCTCCCTCATCAGAGTCTCCAAGGACCCTTATTGGCCCCTCACCTGAGTGGGGGGCACCAGAAAGGTCTTCGAGATGTCAGGGGTCAAAGGTGATCTTGGGAAGGTGGTGGAAGGTGGTAGAAGGTGGATGGAGGAGTGAAATAGGGGTCTTTAGAGGCAGGAGACTGAAGAGGTGATCGACCAGCAAGAAGGAAGGAAAACAAGGGGGAGGCAGGGGGTGTTACCTGGGGCAGGGCTTGGGGAGCCCGGGCAAGACCCGAGGGGGCCCTGGGCCTTCTCCTCTTCCTCCTGGTCATTCAGCACCATCCGGTCCTCTTCCTCTTCCTCCTGGGAACACACCTTGGAAAGCCGGAAGCTTCTCCCCCCGACCAGCCTCCTGAAACACCCGCTCCTTAGCTCACCGCCCTGGCCGCAGCCTCCCTGCAGCTCCCCTCCTGGGCACTGGGAGGACTTGGAAATCTCACCCTTCTCCTCCTCTCAGGCCCCTCCCAACTCCCCCCAGTTCCCGCCCTCAGAAACACACACCCTTCGGCAGGTGCTCGGCACTGGTGACAAGATGGAATGAAGCTTGTTTGACCAGGGACGCACCCTGTGTGAACAGTGAAGGCCAGATGGGGAATCTCGGGGAGAAGGGAAGCCAGCTCACACAAGGGGGATCTGGTGCGCACCCAGGTACCTGCAATGGCAGAGGCTGAGCCGCTGTCCCCCCTCGGAAGCCAAGGGGGCCTGAGAGATGGGCCTGGCTTCCAAGCCTTCTTCTGAATGGAGTCAAGGACTCCCCCAGCCACCGGGGATGAGGCCACCAGATCTGACTCATGGTACTAGTGTGACAACAGCTCACCTAAGATGGAGGACCCCGTGCAGGGCGTGTGGGGTCCCCTTCTACATGGCTGGGAGCCACCATTGGCTACATGACTGGCCCAGGTGTGCTCTGTCTTTTCCGTGGTGACTGGGGTGAAGGTCCCATTCACCCAAGCGCTGGCACTATGCACTAATCTGGGTGGGGGGAGGGGCTACCCAAGAACCCACTGGGGGTTCGGCCGTTGGTCCTTCCCTTTTCAGCTGTAGGCACAGATGGTGGAATCCCCCAGACCCTGACGGAGCCACAGCAACCTTGGATCGACCTTGGGCCAGGATTCCCCAGCAAGGGGGTCTTGAGAAGCCAGAAGGCCCGGACTTGAGCCGGGGGCTTTGTCTTGGTGAGACTGTGCTGTGTGAGAACTTGGGGGGGGGGCAGGATTATGCTCCCCACAGGCATAAGGGGATGCTGACATGTTTGTTCTTGCAAGGCACCATTCCTTTGTAAAAGCTAAAGTGACTGAAGAGGGGTGCTGTGGACCCCTAAGTCAGTGGGGAATTGAGCCCGTGTCAGATACTAGCTACCCCCCAAATCTTCAAGGGCCTCGGAGAACACTGGGGGAGAAAAACCCACGGGAGCATGAGAGGGAGAGGCTGATGAAGGCTCTCCATGGCTTCCACAGTCAGACCAAGACTCTGGTCTGGGTTTCAGAATGTCCCTGCTATCTGGCCCCTCCAAGTGCTCCTCATACACACTGCCTCAGGAGGCGGCCCTTCCTCTCCACACCCACAGAGGCAGAAACCCCTAACCCTTTATAGGCAGGAGGGCAGATGGCTGTGGAGGGCATGGAGGTGGGCAGAGAAGGGGACACTTCAGAGTGTGCAAAGGGGAAGGAAGGGATGGAGGCTAGGGGAAAGCAGGAAGGCAGCCTGGATCATGCCTGACCCTCGTAGCTGCTGCCCTCTGGCTCCCTCTGCTCCTGGCCCAAAGCTGAGCTGGTGGGGTCCTGGAGGGATCGCCACCTTCTTAGTCCCGCTGCCAGCTTGGCCTGGGACACTCCCATGCTAAGCCCGGGCACCTCCCAGGTCACCCCACCTCGTAGCCCCCTCCTGCATGAAGGGAGGCCACCCAGCACTTTCTGGCTTTGGGCCCCTGGGCATGGCCCAGGCATACAGGACTGGACAGCAAGGAGCGGGAGCCCTTGGAGCCATGGGTCCCCTCTCCCTCTCAACTCACCGTTGCTGCTGCTTCTCCCTCCAAGGCTTGAACTCTGCCCAGAGGTCCTCTTCCCCACCAGAGAGCTCTTCCAGGCCCTGCGGAGGTGACCTGACAGACCCCAGGGCTGGAGGCTGGGGAGCTGGGTGTCTACTGTGGTCCTGGGAGCAAGTGAGAAACTTGGTTGGGGCCGGGTGGCTGAGGATCCAGGGATCCAGGTGGTAGAATAAGGAAGGCAGGCGCTCATCCCAAGCTGGGGGAGACCACAGTCCTCTGGGGCTGAATAGGAATGTGTCCTGGGGGAGCCTCTGGGTGCAAAGCAGGCAGTGCCTTCCTTGGCCTGGGAGCATCTGTTGCAGCAGGCAAGGTGGGGCTCCCTTGTTTGCCTGGGGTGTTGGAGAATCTGGGAGGTCAGAAGTGTGGCCAGGGTTCAGTGCCTTCTGCGCCTGGCGCAGAGCTAGAGGGTGGTTTGGAGTTCAGGGGGCTGACACCCTCAAGCTGAGCTCAGGGACCCATGGAGGCAGGCCTGGCTAACTCCTGAACCCGGTGGGGTGGGCCTGCTCTGAGGGGGTACCTGGTAGCAGCGGCTGGAGCTGCAGCCTGAGGTGGGCTGGGGCCTCAGAGGTTGCTGAGTGTTGGACAGGAAGGGGTGTGTGGAGCAGGGTGGGAGAGGGGAGGCTTTGATCTGAAGGTCAAAGGTTCAAGGATTACTCTGGCCAACAAGAATTGCTGCTGAAAGGGTGTGTGTGGGAGGGTGGGTGGGGGGTGAACTTCCATCCTTCACCCCTTCCCCACTCTCCAGCAAGGGCTCCTGGCCTGGGCCCCTGCTCACTCCCCAGGGCGGTTTCTGCCTGTTCCCCAGCAGGGCTCAGCAGGGCTCCCGACCTCCATGCCTGCTCCACTCCCCAGGGGGGCTCTTGTCCTGGGCCCTTGCCTGCTCCCTAGGGGGCTCCTGGCCTCCGCGCCTGCCCCAGGCTCCCGGCCTCTACTCCCTTCTTTCCCCTGGGGAGCCCTTCCCTCCCTGGCCACCCAGATCTCAGCCCATGCTTGGGGCTCTTTTGGGGGGGGCTCTTTGGGGGTAGTGTGTTAAGGAAGTCTTTGGCCTGTGGAATGCCAGGCCATCCCCAAGGGGTACACAGATACCTACGCGTAGCTTCTGCCGGCGCTCCTGCAGGCCTTTGATGGGGTTTCCACAGAGGACCCGGCTGACACCTGAAAGAAAGGAGGTTAGGTCAGCTCCTTGGTGGAGGTCAAGGGAAGGACAATGGATCCTGAGGAAAGACATGCCCACCCGGCTGCTAGGGGTGCGTACCGTGGGTCAGGTCACTGGAATCGCTGGTGTCGGGGGCCAGCTCCTCGGGGAGGAAGGCTTCCGGGAGGGGACTCCCAGGAGATGACAGGGGCATCGTCCAGGGCAGCCGGCCCACAGGGAAAGGCCACGGCCGTGGAGTTGGTGGTAAGGGGCTTGTGGACAGCCTCAGATTGGGGTTGAGCCTCTGCCTTGGTAAGCCTGCATGAAAATCTGAGTGAGAAACAGAGAGGATTGTTGTCAACCTGGTCAGAGCCCTCCCAGAAGTCACAGGACAAGGGGGAGGCCTCCAACGTTCCGGATGGAGGATTTGGGGATAGACTGCTCATAGCCAGCCAAGACTGTGGATCTCTCCAAGGAGTTCTGCCATGAAGCAGGGTAGCTCTCTGCACTGTACAGACTGGTAAACTGAGGCTATCATAAGGGAGGGGTTGCTGGGCTGTGGCCCTGTGTTGAGCCTCCCCCCAGGATCAGACAGTTGCACCAGGAAACATCACCTAGGTGAGAAGACGCTGGACTCTGGTGCAGGCCTGTAACAAGGAAGCGCCTTCCCTGGAAAGCAGGCTCTGGGGGCCTGGGAGGGTCACCACCTCCACTTTGCCTGGGGTCTAACTGGGCATTCTAGCTTCTCATCAGTGCTTTTTCAAGCTTACTCTCCACTGGAGCCTCAGTAAAGGAGGGGGCTGGTCCCCGGGGCCCCCATCCATCCCTGCTGGGGGGAGGGCTGAATGAGCTGCATACTAAACCAAGTGCCATCCAGGTTGGCCTCTTTGATGGATTCCTTGACAATGAGCCAGTCTTTGTTGAGCTTCCGGGTGGCCTGGAGGGAGGTCTGGCCAGCAGGTATGTCATCCAAGAACTGGAGATGGGGAATGAGCTTTTTCACCTCTGCCCTGTAGTTATAGTCTGGGGCCTGGAAAGACAAGACAGGGACCGTCAGGACCACACAAAAGTATTCTGTGGGCTGTGGGCAAATGCCTCAGAGAGCCCCTTGGGCAGGGAAACTGCACCAGAAGACCATCATGGCCAGTGGCCAGTGGCCTGACTGGAAATAGGCCCATGATGGGGCTGGGGGGTCCCAGATACAGAGGGCTGGGCCAAAGGTCCTTGGTGGGGGACCACAGTCCTAATACTGGGGTTCAGAGTGACCACAGCAACCATTCCCAGGTTAAGGCTCCCCCACACCGACAGAACATGACCCCGATCTTGTAGGCAAGCTTCTAGGACCTTATCAATATCACTCTCCATAAATGGATCCGTATTTTTCAAAAACCCTTCTCTGAACCTCACAATGTTGGGCCAAGATTTACCCAATCGCCAAAGAGCAGCACCACAGCGTAGCAAACAATTCGGTCAATTCTGATAATGTAAATTAGAGTCGCACTAACCGTGCGGATCACAGCAGACTACAACTTTACCATGGTCAGTGTTCTCTTGAGTGTAGATAAGAGTGAAAATACTTAAAACAAAAATCTTTTTGTAATTAGTTTATTTTTAGTTTTCAACATTCACTTCCATAAGATTTTGAGTTCTAAATTTTCTCCCCCTCCCACTCCTCTCCTCCCCCCAAAGATGGCATGCAATCTGATAGGGGCTCTACTTATACATTCATATTAAGCATATTTTCCCATTAGTCGTGATGTAAAGAACAATTAGAACTAATGGGAGGAACCACGAGAATGAAGCAATAAAACAAAACAACAAAAGAAAAGGAGAGCAAATAGTGTGCTTCCATCTGCATTCAGATTCCTTGGTCCTTTCTCTGGATGTGGATAGAAATTTCCATTGTATTTTTTTTGGAATTGTCTTAGATTCTTGCTTTGCTTTGAAGAATCAAGTCTATCAAAGTCAGTCATCCCATAATGTGGCTGCTGCTGTGTACAATGTTCTCCTGGTTCTGCTCATTTCATTCTGCATCATTTCATATAAGTCTTTCCAAGTTTTTTTGAAGTCAGCCTGCTCATCATTTCTTATAACACAATAGTATTCCATTACACTCATATACCACAACTTGTTCAGCCATTCCCCAATTGATGGGCATCTTCTCCATTTCCATTTCTTTTCTACCACAAAAAGAGCTGCTATAAATATTTTTGTACATGTGGGTCCTTTTCCCATTTTTATGATTTGTTTGGGATACAGACATAGAAGTGGTGTTGCTGGGTCAAAGGGTATGCACAATTTTATAGCCCTTTGTCGTAGTTTTAAACTGATCTCCAAAATGGTTGGATCGTTTCACAACTCTACCAACAATGCATTAGTGTTCCAATTTTCCCACATCTTCTCCAACATTTATCATTGTCCTGTTTTGTCATGTAAGCCAGTCTGATAGGTGTGATGTGGTACCTTAGAGTCATTTTGATTTGCATTTCTCTAATCAATAGTGATTTAGAACTTTTTTTCATATGACTATAGACAGCTTTAGTTTCTTCCTCTGAAAATTGTCTGTTCATACCTTTTGACCATTTATCAATTGGGGAATGACTTGTATTCTTCTAAATTTGACTCAGTTCTCTACATATTTTAGAAATGAGGCTTTTATCAGAGACACTGGTTGTAAAAATTCTTTCCCAATTTTCTACTTCCCTCCTCATCTTGGTTGCATTGGCTTTGTTTGTATAAAAAAAATTGTTTGAAGATAACTCTTGAACCACAGTTCAGGACATCCTCTGCCCGAGGTCCATACATTCCAGTGGATTTGCTGAGGATAGTAAATATTAAAACCAGAGGGAGAAGGTAAGGGGTGGGGGGAGCCACCATTGGTTATCCCACCATTTAAAACTGTTGCCTCTGTTAGATAAGAACACGTCTTGGTGGGGTCAGTCCATCAAAACTGAGTGTGAGCAGGGCCTGTATACCTCCTTGAGCTGATCAAAGCCATTGTGTGAGAGTCTGGATCGCCCAAGGAACTTGTATAAAACACAAAACAAAGGGAGCCCTCTCAGAACAAAGAGGAGATGCTGAGGGTCTGGAAGGGGAGAGGCCACAGCAAGCATCACTTACTTCTGAAGAGCAAAGTTAGGACTGAGGTGCAGCAGAGAAGGGAGAGATCCCAGCAGGGCCATCCAGCACAGAAGACCCTGACCAGGGCCTGGGGGAAGATGGGGGCAGCAACATACTAGGATGCACACCCCAGGAAATACGGAGATCAGTTGTAGATTCCTTCAGTCAGTCCAAGGCGAGAAGGGAAACTCGCAAGTAGGATTGGTTCAAAGCTGCTCCCTTGCTCATGGGATAAGGCTGCAGGCAGAGGCCTATTGTAGTATTTAAACTCAGTAAGACACTTTATTAGTATTTTTCTGTGATTAGTTTAGAATCATCTTTTCTCTCACCTGGTCTGTAATGTTTTCTTGTTGTCCCAGGGACAAGAGAAAGACCCTAGGTAGGGTCCATCTGGGGGCCACCCCAGAGCCCCTTGGTAAGAGCCCAGGGTGTGCACAATCCTGGATCACAGCAGCAAGAGAAAGCCCTAGGAAGAGCCCAGAATGACGGCAGCCTCCAAAGGAGCAGGAGAAGCGCAGGGCCATGCGGTGCCCAGTGTGGCCGCAGAAGCAGCAAGGCCCCGCGCTGCATCTGGGCAGCCTGAGCCCGACCACCAAAGGAGGCAAAGCCAAACCATTCCTGTACAAGGTGAGGCTTAGACTTAGCAACCAGGCTCGGGACCATGGAGGCCGACTTTTGAGTCTGACCCCAACCCAGACACAGAGATGGTGGACTGAGCAAAAGGAGAAAACAACAGATATGACGAGGGACGCCTAAGGAAGAGAGCTGTCCCATGCCAAATCCAAGCAGAGTCCGAGAGAAGAAAGTCCGGGCCACAAGTGAACCAGGAAGAAACGAGTGACCCATGGGAGGGTGGAGAGAACAGCAAAGAGGACTGGTGCCTTAGAATGAGGGCGGAAGGCCTAGCCCAAGAACGACGTGTTCTGAAAAATGGAATGGGCCAGACAGAAAACAACTGCACACAGCAGCAAGTAGTGTTAAAACAAAACAAAGAGATTCGGGGGGGAAAAGCCAGAGGAAAATGTAACATCACCAACAGCCCATCTGGAAAGTAGGTCAAGGAACATATCAAGAAGTCATAAATGAAAACTGCTCAGAACGCTTAGAAACAGATGGCAAGTGGAGACAGAAAGAAGCAATAGGTCACCTCCTGAAAGAAATGTCCCAAAACAGAAATTCCCAGAAACATCATAGCTAAAATCCAAAGGAAAAGACAATAGCTGAAAAGAAAGAGTTCAAGTACCAATGATCCACAGAGGGTGCTAGAGGGCGCCACAGTGCACAGAGTGCTGGGCCTGGAGTCAGAAAGAGCTGAGTTCAAATCTTGCCTCAGATACTCGCTTGTGTGACCCTGAGCATGCACTTCTGTTTGCCTCAGTTTCCTCAACAGTGAAATAATAGCACTTCAGTTTTGTTGTAAGGATTGAATGATGTGATATTTGTAAAAAGCACTTAGCACAGCGCCTGACACATAGTAGGTGCTATGCAAATATTCACTTATGTCTCCCCTTCCCATAGTCAGGATTACAAAAGATTTGGCAGCTATCACTAAAAAGAAGAGGAGAGCTTGCAATGCATTATGCCAAAAGACAAAAGATAAAGGCTAACAACCAAAGGCAACCTCTTTAACAAAATTAGGAAAGAAATAGATCTTTAATGGAATAGAGGGTATCTAGGCATTCCTGGTGAAAAGGATGAAACTGTGCAGACATTTGGAACTAGAAACACAGTCACCAACTGAAACATGGGTATACATATTTGTTTATGAAGGTACTATGTGGGGATGGATTGTTTATGTATTAATAGAAGGAAAAGAAATCCATGTCTTCACAGAATCCCAATATTGTCAAGGGTCAGAGAGAAAGGTTAAAATGACAGAAGACGTGTAGGTGATTTTGTTCTGTTCTGCTTAGGAGAAGATAAAAATGGGAGGGACAGGGAATTATACTGGGGAGTAAAGGAGAAGGAGTAGGAAATCATTGTCATGTAACAAGTACATCCATGGAGGAATGGGGGAGGGGAAGGTCAGCCCATGACCTTCACTTTTATCTGAACTACACAATGGAACATAATTGTGTCCCTCTTATTCACCCCACACACAGATTTTTGGCACAGAAAGACATTGAATTCAGAAGGGAAATAAGAAGGGACAGGGTCAAGGGAGGGACAGAGACAGAATTTTAGGAGAGAGGGTAGAATTGTTATGGGAGAGTCATCAGGTGAACAAACTCAAATTCTGGTGAGAGATGGGACGTAAAAAAAAAGGAAGAGAGAGCAAAAACCTGGGATTAGGGGTAGGGAAATGACATGAGAAGAGCTAGAAGAGAGAGGGAATGTGCTGCTTCACCTACAAGATCACAAGTCAGTCAGTCAGTCAGTCAGTCAAAGATTTATTCAGCACCTACAATGTTCCAGGCAAACTCACTTTCTCCTATCACCTTCTTCATAGTTGTAAGAAAGGAAATGGAATCAAAGAGAGGAAAAAATACTAGAGGAAAAGATAGAAATTTACAGTTAGTAATAATAACTGTGACTGTGAATGAATTGAATTCTCCCATAAAATGGAAAAGTATAGAAGAATGGATTAGAAAGCAGAATCCAACAATATGTTGTTTAAAAGAAACACACTTAAAACACAAACATTCCCACAGGTAAAATGAGGGACTGGAGTAAAAGCTTAAAAAGACTCTCCACAAACAAAACTATGTAGTTAAAATTGGAAGAGAAATAGCTCACTGTGAAAAATCTTTGCAACAAGTTTCTCTCATAAAGTTCTCATATCCAAGATGTATAAAGAACTGAGTCAAATTTATAAAATTAAGAGCCATTCTTTCCTGGACACATAAATGGTCAAAAGATATGAACAGGCTGTGAATATGAAAGGAAGGGATTCAAGCTATCATCAAACAA